GTGTCTTGGCTTTTCTTTGCATTTTTTATCCCTTTGAATACATCCTAGGACAACTCAACGACCCTAGAATGTAGCTTAAACTTCACACATATTTTATACAAACTTATAGTATTTTAAATTACAAACAGTGTAACACCAGTGTCCCAGCTGAGAAGATGGTGCATTTGCATCTTAGAGGTACCAGTGATGCCTGTGAATTAAGTAGGCTTTGAGACACTCCCTATGCTGAAGACTAAATGGGACAAGATAAATTTGGTTTGAGAAGCCAGTGAAGACCAAGAATTGACACCTAATTCCACCCGCATGGGAGGGAGGAGATGGAGATGAATTCAAGAATATCTGTGTTTGTCTTGTTTATTGTATCTCTGTTCTTGATATATAGTGGGCATTCAATAAATATTTGTTAAATGAGCACATACATATTTATATTATATGCTTCTTAGATGATCATTATGTAGTTCGCAGTTTTATTCTTACATGCTAGAAAGCTGAAAGCTAAATTTTTTATAGCCTGTGAGATTTTACCATTTTGTGATTTTGCTTTTCTTTTCTATTTTAAGAATTATATGCATCATCTCACAGGAGCTCTGGTAGTGTAGTGCCTAAAGCACTTGCCTGCTAACCAGAAGGCTGGTGGTTCAAACCCACCAGCCACTCCTCGGAAGGAAGGTTGGGCAATCCACTTCTGTAGTGATACTGCCTTGGAAACCCAAGGAGGGGTTGCTATGAATTGGGTCCGACTCAACGGCACATAACAACAACAGCATGCATCACCTTAAGTCTTTTTAGAAATAAATGACATAGATTTTTCTTTGAAATGTTAAAATAAGTGATTACTTGGCCAGTTTATTGACTTTCTCCATTCCTAAATGGAAATAACTTGCAAGTTCCTTAGCACATTGTATTTATATATATTAAAGTTCAGTTTGAGACTGTATCCAGATTCTATTTCATAATTCTCAGATTTTATGGTGGAGAAAATGCCAAGTTAGCCTAAGTTTTTTCCATTTTTATTTTCCATTTCTGTTTGAAAAAATGAATGTGGTTGATGAGATTTCCATAAAGCACATGTTTATTAGTTTTCTCCCATAAGTATTAAAATTCTGTATATTTTTTAATGCAGATGTGGAGTTAGAAGAAGCTATTAGAAGAAGTCTTGAGGATATGTAATTAAAGACACATCATCAAGTGGCCTTGAAGAGACTCTCAGGATGAGTTCTTGAGTTTGTTTTCTAAAGGAGACCAGAAATCTACTGGCATAAATGTATTTGAAAACATTACTTTGCATTCATGTGTTCAAATCTGATACTTACTTGTTTTTGTGCTTTTATGCAAAGATGTTCAGAAGGAATAGAATATATATTAATACAAATATAAATCACGTATTCTAATATAGGTATTAAAATTTCACAGTTAACTTTGAATGCATATACTTAAAGATTTTCAAAAAATAGAAAAACTCTTGGCTATTGTTAATATGTTTCTCAAATATTATTTGTTCTTTTATTTGTATGGTACAGATGATTCTAGAAGTGATTTATTTTTTTAGGAGTGAAAATAAATATAAATAAAACTCAGTTTTTCTGTAATGCTTACTTCTCATGTGGCACTGATGTATGATACCTTTGAGATCTTTGTTAATAATTATTAGACCATGGTAATGGAAACTGATCATGGAAATAGATTAAAATTTTTCCAGCAATGTTACTTACAGGTTTTGTTCAAATGTATATTCCTGCTTTAATCAGAACAGTATATTGCTGGAATTTGGGGAGGGGGAAACCACTATTTTTTTGGAATTAAAAGGAAACCTTTACCATTTCTTTACCTGCTTAGACATTTATATGACTTGTATGATTTGTTGTTTAAACGGAATGATGCTAAAATATTTGCATAGACTTAAATTCATTTATTTTTAATAATCTTAGTCTTTTTTTTAATATATATATATATATTTGGGTAAACCTGATATTCTTCAAAAAATAATGTAAGGCCTACTCAGGAATATTTTTCCTTAACTATTTAAAAACATTTTATTTCTTACAGAAGTATTTTCATTTTAGTTATTCATTGAATTGTCAGTTTCCTACATTTAAATTACATATTTAAATTTTAAATGTTGAGTTCCCATTATGGATAATAAAAAATATTACTATAAAAGTAGCAAACTAAGGAGAGCTTGCTACACTATCTTTGTGTATATGTTTCATGTTATTTAACCAGAAATATACCTAAAAAAACTGAGTAGTAATTACTTACCAAATTTATAAACAAAAGTTTCTTTAAGGCAAAAAAGAAAAAAAAAACATGGCTCGAATTTTGTTCTTTCTCTAGAACACTGGATGTTTAATTACTGTTTTTTATTAACAGTCCTTTCAATCCACATTGAAAACCAAATTGTATTTTTATTTCTTAGAATGTCAGTTCTTTTCCTCCCTGCTTGCATTTTTTTTCAAGAAGACATCATCATCATCATCATCATAGCTTGAGAATTTACCTGTCATCATTCTAAAATGACCACATTATTGCTTTCAATTTGTAGGTTGAAGTGGTCAAGCAAGGCTTTAGGAGGTAGTCATTAAGATGGACCTTAAAGACATCTGCAGGAGCTTTCTAAATAGGAACAGAAAGAATGGTCCAGGAAGAAGAGTGGCTAAACAGATGTGGGCAAGAAGAGACAGCAGCTCTTTGCCAGAATTCCATACACAGGTGTGATGTACACTGATGCTTTATTAATAAGCCTTTGTAGTGTGTATGGTAGAGAGTACCTGAAACTTTTGAAATGATAGCAAAGGAATATTTTATCATGATGTTTAAGAATTGGGTTAATATTTTAATAATTGTCATCCATTGTATTTCTGCCTATAAAACAATTAAAAGTAATTTAAAAGTTACTTCATTCTTTTATTTAGACACAAAAAGGTGTAATTTAGTGGATGGTATTAGAGAAAGTTACATGGATTATTAAATTATCAACAGTAAATGTATCATTGACAAAGATACGTTTCACTATTTTATTCATTCATTGAAAAAAGGGATTTACTGAATGCCTACCATGTAGTAGCCACTGTTTGAAGTACTTGGGATGTACCAGTGAGCAAAACAAAGCCCTTTATGGAGCACACATTTGGTGAGGGGTTGGATGGAGTGTTAGATAATCAAGTAAACAAAACATGAAGTATATCTGATAGTGGTTACTACAATAAAGATAAAGAAGGGGAAGGGGAGAGGTAGTTTAATGGATGGGGTAATGGGGCTTGCTATTTTTATCTTGAGCAAAAGAAGGTGAGGGAGTGAGCCATGCAAATAAATATGGGAAATAGTGTTACAGGTAGAGAGAACAAACAGCAACTGAAAAGGTCTAGAAGTGAGTTTAGAATACTGAAGGAAACCCAAGAAAGCAAGTGTGGTGGCTGAAGCCAGATGAACTGGGAGAATAATAGAATAGTAATAAAAAAGATCAGAAGGGAGGTAGGGAAACTTGAGGCCTTTCTAATGACTTTGCTTTTACTCTGGTAGGAGAAGCCTTAAAGGTTTCTGAGAATGAGTGGTATGCTCTCTTTTTTAAAAAGATCACTGTAGTTCGTTAACTGAGAAGATATAAAATGCATGAGTATTAGCAGAGAAACCAGATAGGGTATTGGAGCAGTTGAGGTCAGAGTTGATGTGGCTCGGACCAGAGTGGTGGCCGTGGAATTGGTGAGAAAAAAATCTGGATATATTCTGAAGATAAAGCTGATGGGTTTTACTCATAGATTGGATCTAGGATATGAGAAGGATTTCAGGATGATTCTAAACTTACTTGATAGACTCTCACACCATTCACAAAATGTCTGCAGATTCCAGGTTTGTGTCATGACATGGCAAAATATGTTTACTAAGGTAAAATAATCCCCTATGCCGGTAGTTCGTAAGTATTTAGAATGAGTTCGGAGGGCATTTAGATTTAGGCTTAAGGACCTCATCTCTGTTCAAGTATTTAAATGGCTTTCATCCCTGATTAAACATTGTGATTCAGCTTTAAACTGTTATTATCTGTCATTTTCTGTGCCCAGCACATTTTCATCCTTGCTGTATGAGGCACATAGCTATAATGAGATGGGAACAAAACACATTTTTTTTCCTTTAAATAGATAAATATTTATATTCCCAGACCTACTCCATCTTCTACTGATCTTTATGGTATCTTTGACTTAGAGGCCTACTGCATATTGCCATTGTTGATAGGAGATTTTAATACATTGGGCATGAAATGGCCTTCATTATTAATACCAATTACTTCACTCAACCTACAGGAGTAATTTGTTTTTGAATAAACAGTAAAGCAATCATTAAAAATTCCTTCATTAGAATGGGTGGAAATGAAATACATTCATCTAGCTTCCCACATCCAGATAAGACAGAAAGGTGTGGTAATTTTTTTTCGCTTTTCTGTATGTTTAGTGTTGTCTAGGCTTTAATTTTGTTTTGGTTTATTAGACTTTAATTATTCTCTCTCAGGGAAGGGACCAGTAACAGGACAGGTCTAGATTGTCTAGGTGCTGTACAAAAATGCTTTCTGCTCCTCAGAGGGATCTTTTCTCCCTGTATCAAAGGACTTGTAACGTTTTTTTGTGCTTGCTTGGAGAATGTGAAAGAAGCGACTATTGAGCACTACACCCACAGTCCACCTTTTAGGTACCTTCACCTGTGGATTTTGGTTACTTTTAGGCTGCAGTGAGTGGGGGCCCACTACTGGGAAGGGGGAGGCGATCTCCACTTGGGCTTCATTTTATTTCAGACTTCAGGGAGCCGAAGTATCCATCGATTCGTTATGTCCAATTTCTTCCCTGTGTCCGCCCCTCCAGGTCCCGCGGGGGCCGCAAGGCTTTGCCCTGCCTGCCTGCCCATCCTGGAGCCCCGGTAGCCAGCGAGTCCCTACCAACTTCCATTGCCCCTGTCCCTGCATCCCCCAAGCCCCGCGGGCCGCGCGTTTGTCCTTCTTTGGCCACGCGGCAGTAGCAGTGTCGGCGCGGCGCGTCCTCCCGGGCCGCCCCTCCGCGGGCGTCAGAGGGAGGCGGGCGCCCCGCGCGGTGACGGCGTCGCATGCGGCCGCAGGAACACTCCATTCACTCCTGTCGCTAGAGAGGCCGGTGACCTTTTGGCCGCCCGCCTCGGAGGCTCAGATGGCTCAGGCGAAGATCAACGCGAAAGCCAACGAGGGGCGCTTCTGCCGCTCGTCTTCCATGGCCGACCGCTCTAGCCGTCTGCTGGAGAGCCTGGACCAGCTGGAGCTCAGGTGAGCGCGGCCGGCGGCGTGAGGCGGCGCGGGTGCCTTTTTCAGTGTGCAGGCGGGGCCCAGCCTCGGGGCTGGGGCTGGGTCACGGTCCAGCTGCCCCGCCGTCCCGGGGTTGCTTATGCAGCAAGAGCAATGTTTGCTTCAGATTTGTCTTGAATGGAGGTGGTGCGTTTTCTTTGTTTCTTGGTGCTCTTTTCTGGTTTTCTCCAGGAGAAGCAGCATTCTACTTAACCTAAACTTGTGAGCGTGTTGCCACATTCCCATTCATGTATCTCAGCATTTGGGAGTAGAGAAAATAGAGAAGTTAAAAGTTACAGTATGTTTTTGAGAGTAGAGATTGTGGGTTTACAGAACTTCTAGAATCTTCTCTGTGCCTGTGTATGGTTTTCTGAAATGTTTTTAACTTAGTTTTCTTGCTATGCATTTTTAAGGAAGGCAGCCCTTTACAGTGGCCCCTGATGTGGAATGATCAGTTTTCTTGCTCCAAAACGCTTCAGCGCAAAAAAGGAAAAATTCCAGGAACACACCCAATAACAAAGATTAGATAAGAATGGGACACATTCTGGGTTGTGGGGTGAACAGTAGCCGGGTATTTTGTGGAGTAAAATATACAGCAGCTTCCGTTTCTCTGGTAATCCCGTTACTGTATTCAGTCATTCCGTTAATCTCTAACTAAATTTCTTGTGTACCGCCTTACATAGAAGTCACTGTGCTGATATGTCACCTTCAAGGTGCTAGTCACTGTGGCCTGAAAGCATGAAAACATAGTTTTCCCTTTTACTTAAGATTTCGTTGAGTGGTAGGCTTGTGTAGAATTTCTAAACAATTTATAGTAGATTGTGAAAATACTTTTTTCCTTTAACAGTATATAAAACTTCTGTGTTTCCTATGAACAATTTGATCATGTTCAGGTCTATGTACTTAAATGAAAATCTTAAGGCAGATATTCTTTACTTGGCATACACCAAAAACCAAACTCACTGCCATCCAGTGGACTGAGACGCATAGCAACTCCCTTTGGATTTGCAAGGTGGTAAATCTTTATGGTAGTAGATTGCTCAGTCTTCCTTGGAGTGGCTGGTGGGTTTGAAGCGTCAACCTTCTGGTTAGCGGTCATATGCCTTAGGCACTACGCCATCAGATCTCCTCAAGCCCCCTGAAATTGTACACAGAATTTTGTTTATAATTTTTACCAGGTTCACAAAGGTGTATGTAAACCAAAAAGTTTAAGTGCAGCATGTATGTGTTTTTTATCTCTCCAATTAAAATCCCAAAACAGGAAGAGATGTATGTTTGCCCAAAAGAGTTATAGCCACAGTATTCTCTTAGCTCTAAGGCACTTCTCCAAGTGTAAACTTCTCCAAGAAAGGAATCAGAAAATGAAAAATTCTACATACAACGATTTTATGAATGGCAACAGAGAGAGATCTGAGCCCTAAACCAAGTTCTAGGGTTCTGCACAGAATGAAACAAATGGAATAGTAGAAATAATGCTTTTACATGGATTTCCACAAAAGTAGTAAACTAGACCAGGTCAGCCTAGAGAAGTGGAGCAAAACTACATATTGATAGCCTAAGTTACTTTCTATTTCTTTATATACAGCACTGTGAAAAGTAACTAATACATCTTTCCTGGCCTTTAGGACTTTGAGAGCATGTTTTCTGACTTTTCAGAACTCTCTCTCCCCAGTTCAGAAAGGATTTTTTCTTAAAGGAGCAATGAGGGAGTGGCCCCTCCTTTAAGCTGAGTCATTGTCCTTAAACCAGAATTGGTGGCTCACATGTAGTAGGTACAAAACTTGTCAAGTGTGCCTCTTTAAAAGAAAGCCTCAAGTTTTGAGTATTATTACGTCATATGTTTGATTAATGTAAAATGTACTAATTACAGTACATAAGTGATTAAATTGCAACTTATTTAACTAACTCTTGAGCTGAGGAGGAAAGACGGCTGATTTAATATGTGTTACTCATTTCAAGGGCTTTTCTAATAATTCTAGTCTTTTGAAAGCTTTGTTCCTTGCTTAAAAAAAAATACTGAGAATTTAGGAAGTGTTTCACAAGGTAAGAAAATACAGAGAAAAATGTTAATGTTGATCCGATGAAAGTTTTTCTGAAACCACATGGGCAATGTCGCTGTTAAACTATTAAAAACTAGAATCATGCCTAGAAGGTCACTTTTTAAAAGACATCACATGAAATGTAATTTTGTTTTAGTAGTTTAATTTTATATTACATAGAACTAATAATACAGTGCATTAAACCAAAATAAAACAGTGTATTAGGTAGAGGAAAATGTTACAGTTTGTACTTAGAAGTATGTTTTTACTGTTTTCCAGTCACACTAGTTCTGTAGATTGTGGAAGAAACTTCTTCCATGTGGAACTGAAACGAGATTATGCCAAATGCTTTATGACTTGAATTATGAGCTAGTGTATATGATGTTTAAAGTATTTGGCAGCATTCTACAAATACAGAATTTCATTTGTTTCTAAGACATTCCATTTGTTTTTAATGACACTAGCCTTTTTTTTTCTTTTTTTCGGGAGCTCTGGTAGCATAGTGGCGAAGGCACTTGACTGCTAACCAGAAGGCTGGTGGTTCAAACCCACCAGCCACTCCTCGGAAGGAAGAGGGGGCAATCTACTTCCGTAGTGATACTGCCTCGGAAACCCCAGAGGGGTTGCTATGAGTTAGGTCCGACTCGACAGCATATAACAACAACAGCAACAGCAAGCCTTTTTTCACTCCATCTCCTTTATTGCTTCCTTCTAAAGAAGTAAAGTTTTTCTCTCTCTGTTTTCACAACCAGTTCTTGAGAGTGAATTTTTCATTTGGCAGTGGTCCAAGAACCCCTAGCTTGTTTATTATTACTTTTAAACAGTTATTGCAATTAATTATTATTAATAATAAATAATTATGCTAAAACGTATTCCTTTAATGTACACTGACTATATGCCTGGCCCCATGCCTTTGTGGAAATACTATCTCCATTCTACAGATGGGAAATTGGGCTAAGAAATAAGAAAGTTAAATGACTTTGAGCAATGGACTCCAAATTTTGAATCCAGGAAGCCCAGCCCTCAAGACTCTTTAACACTTTATATCTAAATTTTCTTAATGTTAAAGATACTTCAAAATATAGGAATGATTTATGGATGAATATGTTAGTGAACGAAATTAAAATTCTATTAAATTATCCTTTAATTTAGAAAATATGGCATATTTACTATGTTACAGGCATTGGATGGCTCCTAGAAGATGCTGGATAGTAGTAAAGATGTTTAGGGGATAGGGTTTGGAGAATGGCTGGGGAGAAGTCGCAGGGAGACTGACTTCACAGATTTCTCCAAACTGATCACCTTGTGGTCCTTTCCCCTTTCTATCAACAATTTGCAATGGCTGACCAGCAGCAAGAAATGAAAGATTAGGACAGAGGCTGATGTGAATTATTCATCTGCCTTAAAGTTTCTTGTTGCTTAGTTTCTTGAAAGGAGCTCTGATGGCATAGTGCCTAAGGCATTTGACTGCTAACCAGAAGGTTGGAGGCAATCTACTTCTGTAAAGATTTACTATCTTAGAAACCCAATGGGTCAAAATTGACTCAATGGCAGTGAGTTTGCTTTTTGGTTTTAATGTTTCTTGATAGAATGTACCAGTAACCCAGCAGGCACAATACAGAGGACATCATAATTAATATTAAATAAAGGCCTATTAATTTAAAAGAGTACTTTTCATATACATTGTCTTTTGAACCTTACAAAAACCCTTTGAGGTAGGAGGAGGCCACATATTATCTCTTTTAGAAATGAGGAAGCTGAAGTCCAGAGGGATTAAGTGGCTTCCCCAAGGCCATACTACTAATGAGTAGCTCCTACCACTAAATACCCACCCCATGTCTCTTTAGTCAGTGGAAGGTAATATTTTGGTGATGATTAGGAAAACCCTTCAAAACCTTATAATGGCTAAACTATAAGTGATTATTATAGTGTTCTATTGGTAAGGAGTACTGAATAAGCAAAGGTACTATGTTCTTAAAGGTTCTAAGTTAAGAACCTGTTTTGAAATTATTTCTTCTGCATTAATTCATGGTATGAGCATTTGCCATTTTCTCTCCTTTTTATGAAAGCACGAATTCTTGTTATTAGTAAGCCTGAGTTGATAACACTAAGAATATCCTGAAGCTAATGTATGCCATCACCAATTCTAGGCACATTGTATATATTAACATACATAAATATTTTAGCCAATGCTGTCAGTCACTGTTAAACTGTTTACCTGCTTTATTTCATTCATTCACATTCACCTTTGCCTAACTGTCCTTGTTTTATAAGTGAGAAAATTTGGGCTGAGTTTAAGTATCTGAGGTCCATACCTTAGTAGCAGCATGTTGCACAGCTGGACTGAAAAACCATTGTAGTTTCTACTATATATTGTATTAGCTGACATATCAGGAGCAGGTGCAGCCTTGGTGAAATCATCATCATGCATCTCCTAAGTCTCTTAACAGTTTGTCCTTTTGGTACCTAGGCTGCAGAAATTTGTGAGGTAACCAAGATCTGAGGACTAGCTGAGGATGTATGCACCCCAATTTTGTTTTCTTGTACTCAGACTAAAACCTATATATATATATCTCCATAAAAATTTAGGTTTGTGTATTTAAAATTAAATTTCACAAAATGAAAAAAACTAGAGCAACCAAATTCTGACATGACTACTAATGGCCTAGACCCTTCAGGAATGAGAGTTTGGATCACTCCATGAGGCAAAGAACCACGAACAGTTGAAGTATTCTTTTTGCCAAAGTCTGTTTGGTTGTGATGTCATGTACTGTTTTCATGCAAGGCAGGCCTTGATGTGAGATCTTTCCCAATTTGGACATGTAGCTGCCTTCAAGATCTGTTAGTAAAAACAGAACTGTACCTCTCTGCCAAGAGGAATGTTGTCAGATGAGTACAGTTTAAATTTGCTCATGCACGATATTAGACTAAGCACCAGGCATG